GGACAATGAGTAAGGAAGACCTGAGAGGAGTTGATGCTTTTGAGTTGTGATGTTGGCAAAGAATACTGAAAGTAATGGACTGCCAAAAGAACTAACAAAATCTGTCCTGGAAGAAATGTAGCCAGCATGCTCCTTGGAAGCGAGAATGGCCAGATTTTATCTCATCTACTTTGGTGATGTTGTCAGAAGGGACCATTCCCTGGAGAAGAATGTTATGCTTGGGGAAGTGGAAGTTCAATGAAAAAGAAGAAGGCCCTCAATGAGATGGACTGACACAGTGGCTGCAACAATGGGCTTGGGTAGAACAAGAATTTTGAGGCTGGCGCAGGACTGGGCAGTGTTTCACTCTGCTCTACATAGGGTTGCTATGAGTTGGAACTGACTCAACAGCGCCTAACAACAACAACGTATATTTGATTTCCCTCTCTCTGTGAAACATACTATTCTAGGCTTTTTGGAAGGTGTAAGAACCTCAAGGAGTTTATAGGTGTATAAGTTGGGAACATTCATATACACCAAAGAAACCGACTGGCTAGGTATTAATAATAAAAGGGGGAAAAGAGAAATGTGCATACTTGGTTCCATTTGAGTGGAAGGAAGGGGAGTAAAGCCTCATGAACTGAGTGGTCAGGTAAAGTAGCTGTTGGGGAGGGGGATTTATATTTGAAATATGGACTTGAGTGGATGAAGGGAGAGCATTAGAGGTAGGGCAGATGGAATTCTACACAGTTTGGTTGATTAATATCAGTTTCCCCTGATTTTCCCCATTACCAGGTAGACACATGTGTCTGGGCCCTCTACCTGTACTGTAGTTAGAGAACTTTGTAATCTGGACCTAGTCCAAGCTCCCATCCTCCACTTCCCTCAATCTCAGAGCTCTCTGGGCAGGAGAAAGTGCTAGGCAGGGAACATGTCCAAATAGGACCTACAGCCGGTCAGTGATGTTCAGAGGAAGAAGGACGTCTGTGGTCCTCTCCTTGGAGTGAGAGCCCATGAGAAGTACAGTAGCTTGAGGCTCCCCTCACCCTCCCCAGCCTTTCTGGGCCAGGTAGAACCAAGCCACTTTTTCACTCAGAAGAGAAGGGTACAGGGTGTTTCCCAGACAGATTTTCAAAGCCTGCCTGCACTTCATAGGCCTTACCACCCATTTAACAAGCTCCGCTTGCCTTCTCAAAATCTCCATTCCCTCAGAGTTGATTTCATTTAGGTGTTCAGAAGGACTCTTCTCTCTAAGATCTGAATGAATCATAGCACTATTTTTAGCTTCAGAGCATGATGGTGGCTTTTCTTTCTTTCCTTTTTAATTTTAAATTCCTCCTTTTTCTTTTCTAAATAGGCTTTATATTTTAGAGTAGTTTTAAATTCACAGAGAAATTGTGCATAAAGTACAGAGAGTTCCTATATATCCCTTTGCTCTCTGCACAGAGTTTCTCCTATTATTATTATTTAAAATTGTGATTTGGGTGAAAGTTTTCAGAGGAAATTGGTTTTCCATTAAACATTTCATACACATTTTGTTTTGTGACAATGATTGCAGTCCCCACAATGTAATAGCCTTTATCCCATTTCCTCCTTGTGGTTACTGTTTCTATTCGTCCTTCTTTTCTGTTCCTTCCTGCCTTCCGAGCTTTATCTCTGGGTAAATGCTGCCCTTTTGATCTGTATGGTTGATTGTTCTAATGAGTGTGTACTCTCTGATGTTATTGTTCACATTGTGGGCCTGTCTATTGTTTGGCTCAAAGTTGAGCCACCTGCTGAATTCAGTTCCAGGCTTGAAAGGTTTCTAAGGGAGTTTCTCCTGTAATAGGATGTTGCATACCTGTAGTAGATTTATTACAACTGATGAACAATTGTAACTGTTACTGATAAATAATTATTAACTAACATAAATATTGATACATAATTACATTAAGGTTCACTTTGTGTTGTATAGTTCTATGGGTTTTGACAAATGCATAATGTCATGTGTCCACCATTATAGTATCATGCAGAATAGTTTTACTGCCCTAAAAATATCCTGTGCTCCACTTCCTCATTCCCCTCACGCCAAGTTTGTAAAGCCTGGCAACCACTGATCTTTAGTTTTACCTTTCCCAGAATGTCATTATCATTGGAATCATAAAATTTGTAGCCCTTTAAAACTGGCTTCTTTCACTTAACAATATGCACTTAAGTTTCCTCCATGTCTTTTCATAGCTTGTAGCTCATTTCTTTACATTGGTGACTAATATTCCAACATATGGATAAATCAGTTTATTGATCCATTCACCTATTAAAGGATATCTTGGTTGTTTCCAGTTTTCGGTAATTATGAATAACTGCTATAAATGTTTTTGTGCAAGTTTTCACGTGGACATAGGTTTACAACTCATTTGGATAAATATCTAGGAGTGTAATTTCTTGAGCATATGTTTAACTTTGTAAGAAACTGCCAGACTGTCTTCCAAAGTTGCTGAACCATTTTGAATTCCCATAGGCTTAGTTTTTGAACATATCCAGGAGGTAGGATTTCAGGTAACGTATATAAGTGGTAATATATTTCTGGTTGAGGATGTCTTAAGCTTCCTGAAAAAAGAGAGAAGAGACAGCCTCTCGGCCTCTGGTTATGGAGAATTGGGGGTTTCCTGAAAGCCTACCAGTCTCAGGGAAATCATAGCTCAATCTCGAAGTGCACTCCCTCCAGAACCCAGCCCTGTCAGCAATTCTGACCTACTCTCTTCCCTCTTCTGGGCTCTTGAGAGTTAGAATGAATAATGTGTGGTAGCCACTGCATCTTTGGCCACCTTTTGGGAGGGACATTGGATGTCTGAGTGCTCAGAGGACTTGTGGAGCTGGATTGTCTGTATGTGTGGCCCTTCTGTCCCCTCCTACTCCCCACACTTGGTAAATGCTCTGCTTATGTCTGGTCTTCACAGCTTGTTGCTCCTGCAGCACTGTCACCTGACCACATCTTAGGAACATGTTTCCCATCAAGGAACTGCTTTGTATGGCAACTGGAGCCCTGGTCATGGGGACTTTAGGGTTTTGGTTGAGTGGTTTTAGAAAAGGCTACTCAGGCTGAAGTGCTCACAGGCATTTGAAAAGAAATAAATTGTTTTCCACTTAGCATTGTTCTTTTTACTCAGAAGTGCTATTTTTCTGACTGGTATTTTGATAAATAATAGTTAAATGTCTTTTTAAACCAAAAGACTGCCCGGCTGTAATTGGGCTTATTTTTCAAGATATGGAATTGTTGAATTGTTTTCCTTTTGTAATTGAAACCAGAATTCAGCATTCTCTCCATTTCCTTTTGGATTCATGGTTCTTTAGAGAATATTTTGCCAGTTTTATAGGGCTTATGAGAGTTGGCCCTCTCCTGGGCTCCCCTCTCCTGACTTTTGAATTTTGCAGCTCCTTGCACTTTTGGCTCTCTGGAATGTCTAGGACCCTAGTACTGCAGAAGAGAATCATGTCCTCAGATGATACACCTGACAAAAAATGACAGACTCCTCACTGAATCAGAGAGCTTAGTAAACTCTTTGGCCCATTAATGATTCCTTCTGTATATTCTCATCATATCCAATATTCCATCCATTGCATAGCCTCATCATGAAGGAAAAAAAAAAAAAAAAAAAAAACTTTCTTGCCTTCCTGTCACTGTAAGCTGTCACCCTCCCTAATTGATAGACTCGGAAGCAAAGGGAAGAGATGAGCATGTGCTTTGCTTCAGAAAGCCTGGTCATCTACTATCTGGAGGTGCTGGGCAAATGAAAGCCTCCTGAGGTTTAATTTTATTAATTTTAAAACAAGAATGGTATCTATCTCCTATGATTGTTGTCTTAGGTTTCTCCCCACTTCCTTTTCCTGACTTCCTCTCACTGCCCCATTACCCTTGCCTCCATCTCTTCAGAAAGCTTCCAAGCTTCTGGAAAGTCTATGTACAATGGGAGGCATTAGCCTTTTCTTGGCCCAAGTCACCAGCATACCTCAACTTTCAAAGAGCAAACCTGGTTGACTATGTCTTGGGCTACCTTGTCTTCAAATGCTCAAAGTCATGTGACTTGTGCTGCTTGTTTCTCCAGGATGTGAGGAGCTGCATTATCAACTACAACCATGCCATGATCATGATGTACTGGAATGTTCAGTGCCTAGTGGGTTTCTCTGTAAACATAACCAAGGTCCTGGGATGGGTCTGTTGTGGGGGGCAGGAGGAGGGTGTGTGAGTGTGGAGCAAAGCTTTTTTCCATGTCTGCCACAGACTGTGGTATAACCATGGCTGTATTTAGTGCTTCCTATCTTACTATTATACCTTCCATCGCATTGATTTGTGATGTAGCAGGGCCCTGTAAAGAGCACTGTATGGACTAGGTGACAGGAGATTTTGGCTCTGGTCTTATGTTAGCTGCTTATAGGGATTTTTGGAAGTTTAACTTTTCTGGGGCTCAGTTTCCTTAACTATAAAAGCTATAATTCCTGATCTGATTGATTCACATGGTTTAGATAGGAGAAAATAAAATTAATGTAGGTGAAAATGTTTTATGAATAGAAAGACACTCTGCAATATAGAAATATTAAGTCACAATTTTATATGTGCGAGGTTCTGTGGTATCTCCATATAGTAACTTATTTACTTTAATTCTCACAACAATCCTATGAAAGAGGTGTTGTCCATATCTCTATTTTACTGATAAGGAAATTGAGGCACTGAGAGGTAAAGTAACTTGCTGAAAGTCACACAACTAGCAGGTGGCACAGTCAGGGTTTGAACCAGGCAATGTGGTGCCAGGTCTATGCCCTCAGCTGTACCTCACTGCCTCTGTAAAGTGTCACCATTTGTCTTGTTATTATGCCTATTCCACAGCTAGGGGTGAAACTTAGTCAGTGGTCTGGAGAACATGTCAAGCAGAGACCTCTTAATAACCAGTGTGAGATGAATGAATCAATGGGCAGAAACTGTGCAGCTGTGGTCACAGCCCTTGCCATTTCTCTGGGTCCATGCAATGAGTCAGGCTCTTAGGGACATGGGCAGCTTGGGTAATTCAAATTCCTAGATTGCTCAATGAATAGCTACAATTGAACCACATTGTGAGGAGCAAACTGACTTTGTTTTGTTTTGTTTTTTAAAGTATTTTCCTGGCTCACTTTGGGATGAAAGGACTGATGAGCAGAGATAGGCCAAAGGAGAGGATGCTGCTGGGCTTGGGAGGGACAGATGAGGTTGTGCCTCCAAATTTTGTGCTGAAGTATTGGCATAGCTCACAGTGTGTCCAGCTGCTCTGCTAATAAACAGAGACACTGAGATACTGTGTTTATTTCTACCTGTTCCAGGCAAGCACAAGGCTCATCAGAACTATCATACTGAGTGTCCTGATGGATACATTGAAGCCCCTGACCTCCCTATTTAGCAGTATAAATTCAGTCCAGCTGAGCCAGAGAGGTATGAGTGTTCACAGTACCATTTTCTCCTTTTTTTTCTAGGCAGCCAGGATCACTTCCCACCTGCATCGTCTTTTCTGAAGAAGCAGCTGGTGAGGAGGCCAGGATACATGAGAACTGCAGCCCGGCCTCAGATTGGGTTTCTTCCTCCTGCAGTGGGCACACCGCTCCATGCCCAGGGCACAGTGTGTGGTGACAAGCAACTCTATTCTGGGTCCAGGGCCAGGCACTGTGGTCCCAACTCAGTGAGCCAGGGGCGAGGCCTCTCCCTTGGAAGTGTGGCTGTGCCCTCTGGGGGCCAGCCAGGCCTGACTTTGAGCCTTGGGAAAAGAGCCTCCTGGTGCTTTGGGATTTAGTCCAAAGCTGTCTCCCCACTGCCTGACAGACCCTGTAGCCCTGGTCATGTGGGATGCCAGAGAGAGTTTTCACCGATGGACTATCCTGAGATACTAGGCCCAGCCCATGAGGTGGCCTGTGGTGAAGGAACAAGGCAGGTGGACAGCAACAGCTGCAGCCGAAAAAGTCACCCTCTGGTCTCCTCACCTCTCCCTGGCTTTCATGATGGCTTTACCTCAAGCTTCAGCTTCATACAGCTCTCTCTCAGCTCTGCAGGGGATCGTGGGGAAGCAGAAGGCTGCCCCCCATCAAGGGAGGCCGAGTCTCCTTGCCATAGCCCCACAGAGGTGATAGTCAAAACTTCCAGTCTGGATAGGCCTCAGGAGGACCCGTGGCTCCTTTCCCAGCCATTGCATCCTAAGGCTACTCAGGGCTTGGAGGACTGTGCCTGGGCCACAGGGAGCAGCCCCAGGCCAGAGAGGGAGTCTCTTTCCTCACTGGATGGGGACTCTGCCCAGTCTTACTCCTTGGCCTTCTTGATGTCTGCCCCTTTTGGCTCTGAAGGTTGCACCTTGGGGCATGCTGATGGCTGGTACCGTCTGCTTAAGAAGTATGAACCTGCCTTGCATGACTGCTTGGTGAGCAACCAGAAGCAACTGAAGGTCAGTGTTCTCTCAGCCTCTGGGACCCCTGGGACTGTCAGCAGCTCAGAGCAGGAACTGGGCTGGGCAGGAAATGACTGGGTGCTGAGGTTGTCTGACTTCTCTCCTAGAAGCTGAGAAGCTCTTTTTGTGGCTGGCTGCAGAAAAGGTGGTTCTGTACTTTGGTTTCTTCTCTTTTACTTTGAGCAGAGATCTGTTTTCATTTTATCTTCTTTGTCACTTAGGTGCTCAAATTTGTTCTCTGTTAGGCTGCAGGCCCCTCTGCAGTCCCTGGCCTAGGTGGTATGTGGTCAGTTCCACTTAGCTCTGCTTTGGAACAGGCGATTGGGAGCACAGTGCAGGGGAGACTAAGCTGACAGTGTTTGGAAGGGTGTGAATGATATGAAATAGTGATGCCTTGCACTGGGTGTGATTATAATATTCATTCATCCTCACCTCACTATTCCATTCTGCTTCTGTAGAAGTCTTTTATATAGAGTCAAGACACTTGGCTTCTGGTCATTAGACCACTCTCACATTCAGGTTCCCTATTTAGAAAACAGAGACAACAGAACCTCATGGGATTGTTGTGAGGCTCAAATGAGTGTGTACTTACTTTGGAAATGAGAAAGAATTTTATAAATGTAAGCTTTAGCATTATTATATTGTTGCCCACTGAGTTGTCTGAGAGGTCAGAAGTGCTGGGAGTAGGCAGGGTTCTTTCAAACCAAAAATTTCCCACAAAAACCTGGGTAGAGAGACTTTGTGGCTCACCAGTTGTGTTGTGTGACATAGCCTATTGAAAGATAGCATTTTACTTCTGGAGTGTGTGTGCATGTATGTATGTGTATGGGTGTGTGAATTGAGTGTGCTCTGTTTGTAGGGATGCATGAATTAGTGTGTGAATTGTGTGTGTGATCTCTTTGTGTGTGCATCTATGTGCATCTATATATGTACATATGTGTGAGTTTGTGGGTGCTGTATATGTGATGTGCATATATATAGTGTGTGTATGTATAGTGTGTGCATGTGTGCATGTATGAGTATAGTTTGTGTATGCATGTGTATATGTGATATGTTTGTTTGATGTTTAATTGTGCAGTGCATATATGGTGTCATGCCTGTGTCTGTGGCATGTGTGAGGTATGTAAACTGTATGTGTGTACATGTGTGCTGTGTATGTGTGTGTGTATATGTACATGTGAGTGGGCATGATGGGTAGGAAAGTAGAGTGCACACTCATCAGACATTTAGTAGAAATATCTGAAATATGGAAGTTCATGTTAATTTCTAGAAATCCCATCTTATTCACTTTCCATTCTTTACCTGTGGCCTGATGTTCTTTGCTACTACTCCCTGTTCCAGACTTTAGGAACTTCAGCTCAGCCATCTGGTTTATCACTCAGGAGGAAAGTGAGCTAGGGCAGAGAGTAAGATGTGTGGAATCCTTGAATTAAACGGGCCAGAATCTAATCTCATTATCTCTCCAACTAGACCTGTTTTAGAGTGCCTCATTCTTGATATAGCATAGTGGCTAAAGACACTTGCCTGCTAACCAGACGGCTGGCGGTTCAAACCCACCAGCCACTCCTCGGAAGGAAGGTTGGGCAATCCTACTTCCGTAGTGATACTGCCTCGGAAACCCAAGGAGGGGGTCGCTATGAGTCGGGGCCGACTCGACGGCACATAACAACAAACAACAACATTCTTGATAAGTATTTGCTGATTTAACATCCATGGATTAGAATCCATCCAATTCCTTTGGCCAGGAACCCCAGTCATCTTCAACACTGCCTTTTCCCTTCCTCTCCACATCTCATCAGCCTTCTAGTCCTGTTGGTTCTGCTGCTAACATGCACTATTGTTGCTGTCCTAGTTAACGTCCTGAGTTTTGCAAGAGATTCATGGTACTTTCTCCTTCCTCCAGTTTCTCTTCTCTCCAGTTAACACTCCACATGACCAGTAGCATTATCTTCCTAAACACAGGTTGGATAGTGTCATCCCTTGGCTTAAAAGCTTTGGTGGTGCATTGCTGCTCCTGTACAGCATCTGACAACCAAGACCTGTCCAATTTCTCTCCTGGCCTGCCCACAGCACCTTACCTCCTTCCCATTCCAACCCTCTGAGACTACATGCCAGTTTCTGTAGAAGCCAGGGGAAGAAAGGCCTGGGCCTCAGTGCCTTTGGTCAAGATCTTCCTCCAACCTGGAATGATCTTCCCATACTTTCCACCTGGTTAGCTCCTACTCATTCCTTTTGGTGTAGCTCCAGTTACATTTTCTTATGAGCTATTTCCTACCCCCCTCTAGACCAAATAAGGAGCCTATTTAAGTGCTCAGCTGCTAACCAAAAGGTCAGCAGTTTGAATCCACTAGCTTCCTCATGGGAGAAGTATGTGGCATTCTGCTTCTGAAAAGATTATAGCCTTAAAACCTATGAGGCGATTTTACTCTGTCTTTACATTGTTGCTATAAGTTGGAATCAACTCAGTGTCAATGGGCTTGGTTTTTTTTTTTTTTTTTTTGGTTTCTCCCCACAGTTCACATGTAACTTATATCTTGTGAATATGTGAACTATATGTGTGTACATGTGTACAGGATCTAGAAATAGTTTATCTGGAGTTTAATATCTCTATCTATGGAAGTCAAGTAGGAGCTCTGGTAGCATAGTGCCTAAGGCACTTGACTGCTAACCAGAAGGCTGGTGGTTCAAACCCACCAGCCACTCCTCGGAAGGAAGGTGGGCAATCCTACTTCCCTAGTGATACTGCCTCAGAAACCCAAGGAGGGGTCGCTATGAGTCGGGGCCGACTCGATGGCAAATAACAACAACTAACAACATGGTACTCAAATACCTGAACAAGAGAAAACATGATTGCTAGCTTAAATTATTGAATGTCTGTTGTGTGGATGAAAAACGAATTTTATTCAGTGTAGTGCAAGTGACAGAAAGAAATATGTTCAGTGGATAGGAATTGTAGGAAGGCAGAATTTGTTTCAATAGGTAGAGGAAACTTCTGACAGCTGAGTCGACGACAGGGTGAGCTGCATGGGGTGGTCCTAATTTTCAACTGTGTTCATGCAGAGACCTCAGGTTGCTTATTGTGGCTATTTGTGAGGCCTTTAGTGTTGAAGAGGAATCATTCAAAAGAATCCTTTAAAAGACTGGGATTCTAATGTTCTGTAGCCTTTTGAATATTATATTCTAATTTCCCTTCTACTTAAATGGAAATGTAAATCTCAGGAATTTAATACTGACCTCTTTTTAAAATATGTGTATATTATGCTATTTAGAAATAACCACTTAGGGACATTGTCAGGGGTTGGGTGGGGCCAAGAAATCTGAGATAAAAGGAAATGCTAACTGCCTGTGTGGATGTGGGAAGTAGGGAGAGCCCAGCAAATTAGGTCCCACGTTAGGTTGTGGAAGGAGGAGGAGAAAAAAGAAAGACATTGCCTGTCACTACACAGAATTTTCCTTTTGAGGTTATACTTCCAGCAAAGATAGACATTCAGACATACCCCAGGGCAGTTAGTTAAGGGTCTCACAGGGATAATTGCAGGAGGGTATAGGGTAGGGTGAATTTTTCTTTGACATTCTTTTCTATAGTTATTTTGCTTCAATTCTATTAAGTGTTTAATATTACCAAAATTTGGGTGTGGTGATGGTAATGCTATCGCTTGATATGGCAATGAAATCATTTACACAGACTTTCTCTTATATTGCTATATCCTAATATATAGGACTGTTACTGGTAAATTTCATAGTTGAAATATGGAATAATTCAAGGACAAAGACAAAGGACATGATTATCATTCAGAAAGAATTAACTACTAGTACTATGCCTAGTGGTAGGCTTTAGAGACTCTATTAGTTAAGATAATCTAGTAAAAACAGCAACAAAATATCAAGTTGTATTTCTTATTTATATTTCATTTCTACTAGGTTGTTGAGGGCTCTGCTCCATAGAGTCACTCAGGAACCCAGCCTGGATTATCTGGACATATTGCCCCTCAGTGATTGAGACATGAGGATACAATGAAATACTTGAGCCCAGAAGTGACCAGATTACTTTTATTCACACCCTATTAATGAGAACAAGGGAAGGGAGGGCATTTAATCCTTCCATGAGCTCAGAAAGAGTAGAGAACAAACAAGGATGAGCACTAGCATTTTCTATCACACAGAACAAAATAGTTCTTGACATTGAGATGCTCAAGGGTGAATGGAGTAAAACAGGCAAAGCAAAACAAGAAGGTAGCTATAACACAGTGTGACAATTACTGAGATAATTACATGTAACTCCATTCTTCCAGAGACTTTGACCAAAAACCTTGGTATTGCCCATGATTCTTCTTACTTTCACACCCCCCATGTGATTTATTAGTGAATCATGTTGGTTGTATCTTCAACCAGCCATCTTCTGAATATATACAGAATGGGACTACTCACCATCTTCACTGCTGCCATTACAATCCAAGCTACCATCACCTCCTTCCTAACTATTTACATTGCCTCCTAATTGGCCCCCCTGCTTCCATCCTTATCTCCTTACATTCTATTCTCACCATTACAGCCTGAATGAAACTGTTAAAACATAACTCAGATCATGTCATTCTTTTGCTCAAAACCTCTCAATGGCTCTGGATGGCCCTCAGAGTAACAATTAAAACCAAAAAACCCACTGCCATTGAGTGAATTCTGACTCAGAGCAACTCTTCAGGATTTTCAAGCCTGTACATCTTTACAGAAGTGGATTGCCTCATCTTTCTCCTGCAGAGCAGCTGTTGGATTTGTACTGCCGACCTTCTGGTTAGCAGCCAAATGGTTACCCACTGTGCCACCAGAGCTCCATCAGAGTAACAACAGAACTTTTAAATGGTCCTCAGGTGTCTTTATGATATGTGCCTCATTACTTCTTTGACATCAACTTCTATGATTTCCTCAGTCAACTACTCCAGCCCCAGTGGCCTTCTTTCTATTACTTCACAATGCCAGGGACTTTTGCTCAGAGCCTTTGCACTGGTTCTTCTCTCTATTCACCTTCTCAATGAGATCTTATTTAAAATTGCAACACCCATCCTCTTCTAGCATTTTGGATCCACATTACCCTGTTCTTTTTTTTTTCTTTCTTTCTTTACAGTTCTTATCACCTTCTAAAAAAATCATAAAAACATACTTATTATGTTTATTTTTGTATTCCCACACTAGAATGTAAGTTTAGGGGAAAAATAATTTTGTGCTGCATGCTCAAGCACCTCATGCAGTGACTGATATGTAAGAGGCACTCAATAAGTATTTATTGAATGAGTGACATGAATAGAAGCAAGTACGTGTCACAATAGCTGTGTAGAGAAAGGACATTTAACACAGACCAGAGGAGGTGACACTTGAGCTAAGTGTGAAGGAAAAGTGGGTGTAAGCCAGGCAAAGAATGGGAGTGAAGGTGTTTCTCAGGGAGCAAGTCCAAATCCATTCATAGATATAGCCAGGCCAGTAATTCATCTTCAGGAAATCCTTGGGCCTCCTGTTGAGAAGAAAAATAATTACAGATGAGCCTGTTGGTAATACTCAGACAAGCAATTGGATCATTGACTCTACATGCAGGTTAAATAAGACTGTGCCCTTTTTTAATGCAAAATACATGAACCTTAGTACTTTTTGGAAGGGGTTTGTGAAATCTTTCTAGTCATTCCTTCCTAGTCTTTGGAACAGCCTGCTGAGTTAAGTTCATTCTCTTCTTCTCCTAGTTTCTTTTGCAATTTTGATGTGTTTACCTAAATAATTTTAATGTGATTTTTAGACTGGAGATCATTTTGTATGGAAATTTGTTTTCTTTTTCATTATGCATTTCTTCATAAGGGCACAGTGTGATTTTTCTTGTTTAAAATAACATTCTAACTCTGGATTTTTATGCTCAAATTATACAGTTCTTTTACATAACCTTTTTTTAATTTTTTTTTTTTGAGAAACCAGTGCATCTGGCATTGTAAAAATGTACATCTTTTTCTTTTTAAGAAGAGTGAAGTACAGTTTTTGAAATAGTTTCTAGATGTCTTTAACGCTAGCAAAATAATTGTGCTTGAATGCTATTGTAATTTGATTTTTATTTTTCCTTCTTGAATCAACATAGATAAAATCCTTCAGATTAAAGCTTCAGAGACTTCAAGAAAAAGCTGTTGAGGATGATGATTATGATAAAGGTGAGTTTTAATTTTTATTTATTATTTTTTCTATTTGCTATGCTGATCTGTTTCTCTTCCTCACCTTACTCATGAATTTCGCAGCTTACTTTTCTGGTCATCTCTGTTCCGTAACAGCTGACTATTTTATAGCACTTTCATTTTGTGGGTTTCAAGGCATTTTATGAGCATTAATCCTTTGAATTATAAGTATAACTTAATTGATTGTCTGGAAACACTTGGAATACAGCACAATAAAACTTATGTTAACTTATTATCTGCTTGCTTATGATATATTTCCATACTTCACTAATTCATCAAAATATTTGTTGAACACTTAGTTTTAGCTAGGCAATGTGACAAGCAATGGGAAAGTAAGAAGACATGATATTTTTCCTATGATGCAATAGATAGAATACCTTATGGGGTTTCTGACCTTATAATCTCTAAGACCAGAGTTAAGAAATGGAACAAAGTATAAGAATAAGAGATGCTAAGCTGTGCCAAAGGGGTCAGATGCATCACATTTCTTGGAAGTTGGCCTAGAACTTCCAAGATTGAAAAGTGAAGTTACAACATGACACCAGAAGATAGAGGAGTTAATCAGAAGGCAGCAAAAATATTAAAATGGGGCACCAAAATAGAAATTGGGGACCAAAAGTATTATGAGGGCTGACATGGTGGCTGAATGGACACAAGGCAGTCAGAGTCAAAAGGAGGTAGGGATTGTCAGTATTGTTGGCCTGTGAAGAATCTTAAGGCCTTTGGATGCTGATTTCAAGATTTCTTACCCAATTCTTCTGGGAAAAGAGAAGAAAGAGGGCTTAACATGACTTCTAGGTTCCCCTAGCCACTTGTGAACTTGAGGGATACTCTAGGAGATAACCAAGGTTAGCACACCCAGTATTGGTAAGGAAATACATTGTCAGTGTAAGGTAAGTGTTCTTCTGTGAGTTGGTTAGCCATGAGGCTTGGATCTTCAACCTTATTTACCTATATTCTGATATTTCCATTGAATATGTTACAAGACACTGGAATTGGGGCATTATAGAAGTGTGATGAGCAATTTCCAAAAGAAGGTTGAAAATCCTATTCTAAGGAACACCCAGAGCTAGTGTTCTGATTACAGATACTATTGTAGTTGAATTTAGAATGTGACTGGTAGAATAGGAAGGAAGGAGAAGAATTTGGGGAAGAAGGTGGCACTCTTTAAGTTCTCTCACAGTCTCCCCCAGGATGTCTTGATTTCATAATGCTGGAGGATGATGGTACGTGGAGGTAGGAGGCAAGTCTGAGGCAAGGAAAAATATTCCCCCAGTACCTGTGCTGGCCATTGTATCCAGGGCATAGCTGTCAAAAGACTGAATGAGCTAGTTCTTGGACCAGGGTTCACCCACTGACTTTTGTCTATGAAAGACATTTGAAACAAATTTTTTTTTCTTTTTTTAAACCTATATAGCAATTTTTCCTCCTCTCTCCTCTCATTCCTGGTAACCAACAAAGAAAGTTTCCTTCCATATATAAACCTTCCCTTGACTTTTTAAAATAGTGGACTAATATGATATTTGTCCTTCTGTGATTGACTTATTTTACTCAGCATAATGACCTCCAAGTTCATCCATGTTATGTGGTGTTTTGTGGATTCTACACTATTCCTTAGTGGTACATAGTATTCCATTGTGTATGTGTACCACAATTTGGTTATCTGTTCCTTGGTTGAATAACTTAGGTTATTTCCATCTCTTTGCTATTGTGAATAATGCTGCAATGAACATGGATGTGAATATATCTATTTGTGTCCTGGCTGTCACTTCCTTAGGATATATACCTAGTAATGGGATTGCTGGGTCAAATGGCATTTCTGTTTCCTACTTTGTAAGGAATTGCCATAGCTATTTTCACAGTGGTTGTATCATTTTACAATCCCACCAGCAGTGTATGAGAGTCCCAATCTGTCCACATCCTTGTCAGCATTTGTTATTTTCTGTCTTGTTGAACTTTGCCATTAGTGCTGGGGTGAGATTGTATCTCATTGTTGTTTTGATTTGCATCTCTCTAATGGCTGAAGAGGGAGCTCTGGTAGCATAGTGCCTAAGGTACTTGACTGCTAACCAGAAGGCTGGTGGTTCAAACCCACAAGCCACTCCTCAGAAGGAAGGTTGGGCAATCTACTTCCGTAGTGATACTGCCTCGGAAACCCAAGGAGGGGTCGCTATGAGTCGCTCTGACTCGATGGCACATAACAACAACAACAACAATGGCTAAAGAGGAGCTCTGGTAGCATAGTGCCTAAGGTACTTGACTGCTAACCAGAAGGCTGGCGGTTCAAACCCACCAGCCACTCCTCGGACAGAAGATTGGGCAAATTACTTCCATAGTGATACTGCCTCAGAAACCCAAGGAGGGGTTGCTATGAGTTGGTTCTGACTCGACGGCAATGAGAGAGAGAGAGAGAGAGAGAGAAAGAGAGAGAGAGAATGAATGGCTAATGATTGTGAACATTTTTTCCTGTGTTGATTGGCTATCTGAGTATCTTCTTTGATCAAGTGTCTGTTCATGTCTTCTGCCCATTTTAAAGTTGATTGTCTTTTTGATGTTGAGGTGGTAGAGTTTTTCTATAAATTTTAGAGATTTAAGTCCATTGTCAGATACGTTGTTACCAAATATTTTCCCCCAATCTGTAGGCTTTCATTTTACTCTTTTGGAGAGGTTTTTTGATGCACACAATAATTTAATTTTCAGGTGGTCCCAATCATGTAGTTTATCATCTGTTGTTTATGCATTTTGAGTTATGCTTGATAATCTATTTATGCCATAAATTAGGGCCCCTAAGTTTGCCCCAGTTTTTTCTTTGATGAACATTATAGGTTTGGGTTTCACATTTAAATCTTTAATCCATCTGGAGTTAGTTTTTGTATGTGGTATGAGGTATGGGTCTTGTTTCATCTTGTGGATATCCACTTTTGCCAGCACCATTTGTTAAAGATATTATCTCTTCGCTATTTAATGGATTTTGCCCCTTTGTCAAAGATCAGCTGACTGTAAGTAGATGGATCTATTTCTGGGTTCTCAATTCTATTCCACTGGTCCATGTGTCTGTCATTGTATCAATACCAGGCTGTTTCAACTACTGTGGCTGAATAGTGGGTTTTGAGATCTGAGAGTGTGAGACCTCCTACTTGGTTCTTCTTCTTCAGTAGTGCTTTGCTTAACTGAAGTGTCTTTCTCTTCCATATAAAATTAGTGATTGGTTTTTCCATGTCCTTAAAGAATGCTGATGGAATCTGAATTGGGATTGCATTGAATATGTAGATTGCTTTGAGTAGTATTGATATTTTCACAATGTTCAATCTTCCTATCCACGAGCATGGTATATTCTTTCATTTATGTAGATCTCTTATGATTTCTTGAAATAGTGTTTTGTAATTTTCTTTGTATAGATCTTTTGTGTTCCTGGTAAGATTTATTCTCAAATATTTTATCTTTTTGTTAGCTATTGGTATTGATTTCTAATTTTCTTTTCAGAGATCTCTTTGCTGCTGTAGAGGAATCCCACTGATTTTTGTATGTTGATCTTGTATCTTGCCACCATGCTAAATCTTTCAATTAGTTCCAGTAGTTTTCTTACTGAGTCTCTTGGATTTTATATGTATAGATCATATCATCTTCAAATAAGGATAGTTTTACTTCTTTCTTACTAATTTGGATGCCTTTTACTTCCCTTTCTTGCTTTATTGCCCTGGCTAGGATTTCCAACACAATGTTGAATAGAGGTGGAGATAGAGGACATCCTTGTCTAGTTCCTGTTTGCAAGGGGAATGGTTTCAGTCTCTCTCCATTGAGAATAATGTTGGCTGTTGGTTTTGCATGTATGCCTTTATTATTTTGAAGAATTTGCCTTCTCCTATTTTGCTGAGAGTTTTTATCAGGAATGGGTGTTGGAGTTTATCAGATGCCTTTTCTGCATCTATTGATGTGATCATGTGGTGCTTTTCCCTTATTTTACATATGTGATGGATGATGTTGATTTTTTTTTTTTTAATGTTGAACCATGCTTGCATACCTGATATGAATCCCACTTGGTCATGACATATTATTTTTTGATATGTTGTTGATTTTTGTTGAAGTGTTTTGTGTCTATATGCATGAGAGATATTGGTCTGTACAATTAAAGCACATTTTGAAGCTGTGCAGTATTTCACAAATTTATTTTCTCTGGCATTGGTCAAATCATGATTTCTCTACATTTAACGATTAAAGATCTGGTCTCTTGCTATAGTCTCAGACAAGTGTGAAACAAGGCCATCTTTTTCTGCAGAAGACCTGATGACCTTTCTCGTCTTGGTTCTCTCAATGGGCTTCATTAAATACATTCATTTTACTTCTTTTGTCTTTTCTCAGACATCTCTGAACCCCTATAGGAATGGGGTAAGATAGAATATACCATTTTAAGAAAGCTGAAATAAAGACACCTTTATTTAGTATTTCTGTTTTTTTCCTCCCTGCATTTGTGTGTCATTGCCTACTGACTCTGAAGTTTTGGGGGTAGGCTTAGTACTCTGTTTTAACAAACCTTGTATATGATTCTGATGCATGCTGTGGTTGGAGTAATACTGGTTTAGGGCTTCAATCTATGGGCATCCAGGCCTCTGGTATAACAACCAGTCTGGAGGTGGGGTGTAGTCCCTCTCAATCCAGGAGGAATTTAAAAAGTGGATAAGCACCCTCATAACATGCTGATTTACATACTACTGTGATGGTGTTATGGTTAAAGCATTTAGCTGCTAACCAAAAAGTCGGTGGTTTGGACCCATCAGTTACTCTGCAGGAGAAAAATGAAGCAGTCTTCTTCCATAAAGATTCATAGCCTTGGAAACCCTATGGAGCAGTTCTACTGTGTCCTGTGTGGTTGGAATGAGTCAGAATTGACTTGGTGCCAGTGGATTTGGTCTCATTCTATTTGATGCAAAGCCTTCAGTATGGATTACACATCAAGATAAAGAAAGCAAAAATCCTTCCAA